TTCAAACATCCAATACAGACAGTATTAAAACTTACAAAAGGCTGTTCTTGGCTTATTACTAACGTAACTAAAGTTGTAGACTCATATATAGTAATTGATCAACCGGAAGAAGTAAGGCACTTTTGTTTGCGATCAGCATCAGTTTATTCAGAAACTGTTGCTGACTGACGAGCTCAGGAAATCAAAATAATTGCTCCAATATTTCGCTTAAATGAGAAAAGCATGATTTAATTGACACTTGAAAACAATTCTGCTAAATTTTTTCCATTCCATTGTATTACCCCTAGTCTTTTTAATATTAATGCTAAAGTAACACAATATCACATTGTAGTGGGTATTGAATTATAGAGGCAAGCAAATAATCAATATAAACCTGTGAAATAAATAGCAACAAATAGATAAGCATTGATTAGTAACCACTAAACTATGACACCAATCCAGCATTCCTATTGACTAGTGATTAGCGAAGGTCTATTCCTGGTTACATCGATGAAAAGCGAAAAAAAAAAAACACGAAAAACAATTAGACCACTCGGTCTCGTGAACACCGAGAAGAGTCATTGTCCACCCGACCTCGTGGTCTAATTGTTTAACATAGTTAGCGAGACAAGACATTGGAATACACCTTTTCAATTGCTCTTTTAAGATCAGGTTAACTACTCCTTTGAATTTGACGAATAAGGCTATTCGTATCGATGTTTGCATTGCTCACATTCCTACAAATTCAAAAGAATATTTAACATGCTGTCGAGGCATGCAAATATGCAAATTCCGTAAATAAATTTGACGGTCATAAAAGCATAAGAACTAGTACTCGAGACCTTTGAGTTCGTGGAACTCCGAAAATTACGCTTATCTTTTAGTGTGGGTCTACCACGAACGGCGTGTGCGTTTGTAAGTGAGATCAGCGTTCTAGAGTTGATTTCCTTCATTTTCTTGATCAGCTTGCTTTTCTTGGTTAGAAAAAAAAAACAGGTCACAGTAGCTCCCGGGGGGGGTACTCCCATATATTTGCTATACGGGGACGTGCCGCTGGCCAGGGTATGGTTTTTGGCCTTGCTGTCTTAAACAGGGTATACATTTCACCACAATTTAGATAAAAGAGACCTATATAATTCTTTTGTGTGTCTTGGACAGGGTAATATTTTCATAACACCGTAGAAATAGTAGAAATACCGTTTCACTGTCCCAGAATTAACGTGTTATCAAAAACTTCTTATTGTCTTTGATGGATGTCAGTATATTTGCAGTTTTGATGGTTGCGGCGTAGATAGCTATTCCTTATTTTTCCGATTTGTCTTGAACAGGGTATGGATTTTTATTTTTTAGTGTCTTAAACAGGGTCAGGGAATTAKACCGCTGGCGGCACGTACCTATCCAAAACGTGGTCGAGTACCCCCCCGGGCAGTAGCTAAAAAGTAAAGCTAGATATCGCGATCAGGCCACGAGGCCGCGGACTGATGTACAAAACAATATGACATGTCAAAAATTAAAGTAAGCGCGGATTGGTTTAGTTTGACATCCCCATAGAAACTGAGACTGCAGACCATCGGCAACGCAGGCGTAATATTCACGACGAAAACTCCACTATGCATTTTTAGACGTGGTCTTCCACAGGAAGCCCACGTAATTACTGAGTTGACTGTGTTGTTACATGACCGGAAGCTCAAACGTTATAGATGTACGAACATCGTTAGTAACTATTTGATGTAGCCTCCTCCGCAGGCATCACTAAGAATCACGGGCTTCCTGTCTTTTTGAGGAATCAAAAGAGGGAGAATGGGGGCGAGAAAAGGGGAGTATGCGGAAAAACTTACTGACGTTTCGGATGTTAATCCTTCGTCGGAGTAAAGAGCTCGTTACTCCGACGAAGGATTAACATCCGAAACGATTATGTTTTTCCACATACTTTTTTACTGGTGTTAAATTTATCTTTTTACATAACTGTTTCTTTAGAAACACCGACGCAGCTCACACTAGTTTACCACTAGTTCCCACCTTTTTGGAGATTCTTCCGACTAGTAAGTTGGTCCATGTACAAAACACTTCGATAAGTATAGTTTACGTAGGTTCTTTTCTATTAACATTGCATTAAAAATTGTCGCTGCAGCAACTGTCCAAAAAGAAAATCGTAGCGTGTGAATAAACAGTTAGGATTATTTTGAACAGTGCACAAATTAAAGTGAAAGTAACGCATTCTTTGCTTCACTATGTATTAGAAGTAAAAAATATATATTCTACGCCATAATTTACATTCATATATAATCATATGATAGACATAATATTACATCATAATCTAATCGTGTTTATAACCTTCCACTCGTTCGCCTATACGGCATCCATGTAATATCCTGTCTTTCAATTTTCAAAAATAGCTAGCCCAACTTCACGCTCTAAGAGCGTCTAGTTAGGTATAAAATGCAACGCGTATACTTTGTTGTTTTTTTATGGTCACAAATTTGCCTTCGGGATCTACCGATTGCCCTCCGATCTCTATACGAAATGACGTCATCATAATAAAATACCCCGAAGTTAACTGATATAGCATCGATGTCAACAAGAAGGTTACCCACCTCCATAAAACCATGACCGCTTCAATCTTCATCTAGGAATACTCCTGCGTGAATAGCATTGTTTTCTTTTATCCTGAAGAGAGAGAATCCCTCAAATTGGAAAATTTAGCAACTAAGAATCAGACAGCCACGTTGCAGCTTCACTCAGCTATAAAGTATTGGTATATATCTCGCCAAGGAAAATGCACTATTTGGCTCGATACACCAACCTTTATGACCTAAACAAATGTCCTAATGTATGCTCCTACGCAGATGAATGTTTTGGATAACACAAGGGTTTGAATCTCAAAGAATTAAAGATTTCGGCGATTGTAGTTACCCACACAGCTTACTATAATCGACTCAGATATCCCTAATTTTGTACAATTTGTAAATTTACGTTCAAATATTTCTGAATAAGGGATAAATGATCTATCAGTTATCCCGTCGATTATACACCCTTTTAATAAGTCCCGGAGGTATTGTGTTCTCCGCACTTGACGTCAAATTTATTCTTTTGAAATTTTTACAATACAAAAGGAATTCAAAAGAATAAATTTGACGTCAAGTGCGGAGAACACAATACCTTGGGACTTATTAAAAGGGTGTATA